TTATAGGTCATGATGGGTCCCTTCCATCCCTATAGGTCATTATGGGTCCCTTCCATCCCTATAGGTCATTATGGGTCCCTACCATCCCTATAGGTCATGATGGGTCCCTTCCATCCCTATGGGTCATGATGGGACCCTTCCATCCCTATAGGTCATTATGGGTCCCTTCCATCCCTATAGGTCATTATGGGTCCCTTCCATCCCTATAGGTCATTATGGGTCCCTTCCATCCCTATAGGTCATGATGGGTCCCTTCCATCCCTATAGGTCATGATGGGTCCCTTCCATCCCTATAGGTCATGATGGGTCCCTTCCATCCCTATAGGTCGTTATGGGTCCCTTCCATCCCTATAGGTTATGGGCGATAAGGTCCATAACCACCTCTCCCAGCCCCATATATGGCCCCTATACACCCCTATGGTGCCCTCATCCCTCCTGCCCCACCACCCCAGGGCAGAGCTTCGACCAGTCCTCAGAGACCTGGACCATGCTGAGCCGCATCATCGCCCTCTGCAATAGGGCCCAGTTCAAGCCAGGCCAGGACAACGTCCCTATAGCCAAGGTGAGACCTATAGGGGGCTTATATGGGGCTGCAAGGGGGTTATATGGGGTTGCAAGGGGGTTATAGGGGGTTGCAAGGGGGTTATATGGGGCTGCAAGGGGGTTATATGGGGTTGCAAGGGGGTTATATGGGGTTGCAAGGGGGTTATATGGGGCTGCAAGGGGGTTATATGGGGCTGCAAGGGGGTTATATGGGCTGCCAGGGGGTTATATGGGGCTGCAAGGGGGTTATATGGGGCTGCAAGGGGGTTATATGGGGCTGCCAGGGGGTTATATGGGGCTGCAAGGGGGTTATATGGGGCTGCAAGGGGGTTATATGGGGTTGCAAGGGGGTTATATGGGGCTGCAAGGGGGTTATATGGGGTTGCAAGGGGGTTATATGGGGCTGCAAGGGGGTTATATGGGGCTGCAAGGGGTTATATGGGGTTGCAAGGGGGTTATATGGGGCTGCAAGGGGGTTATATGGGGCTGCAAGGGGTTATATGGGGTTGCAAGGGGGTTATATGGGGCTGCAAGGGGGTTATATGGGGTTGCAAGGGGGTTATAGGGGGCTGCAAGGGGGTTATATGGGGCTGCCAGGGGGTTATATGGGGCTGCAAGGGGGTTATATGGGGCTGCCAGGGGGTTATATGGGGCTGCCAGGGGGTTATATGGGGCTGCCAGGGGGTTATATGGGGCTGCAAGGGGGTTATATGGGGCTGCAAGGGGGTTATATGGGGCTGCCAGGGGGTTATATGGGGCTGCAAGGGGGTTATATGGGCTTTCTATAGGGGTTAGATGGGGGTTTGGGCGCTTATGGGGCTCGGAGGGACTTTTAGGCACCCTATATGGGGCTTATATGGACCCTAGGTGGGGCTGAAAGGAAGGTATAGGGTGCTTATGGGGCTGGAAGGGTATATAGGGATCCTATGTGGGGCTGGTAGGGGCTTGTATGGAGCTTATGGGGCTGAGAGGGGCCCTCTATGAGGCTGAGGTGAACCTATAGGGAGCTTATGGGGCTGGAAAGGGCCTATAGAGCCCAGTATAGGGCTGGGATGGGCATATAGGATGCTTATGGGGCTGAGATGGATCTACTGGCAGCTAATGGGCCCCAAAGGGGCTTATAGGCACCCTATATGGAGGTGGGAGGTGCCTATAGAGACCTTATATGGGGGTGGGAGGGGTTTATAGGGACCCTCTATGGGGCTGGGATGGGCTCATGGGGCTGGGAGGTGTCTATGAGGACATTATATGGGGCTGGAGGGGCTTATGGGGCTGAGAGGGGTCTTTAGGGACCATATATGGGGCTGGGAGGAGCCTTTAGGGACCATATATGGAGGTGGGAGGAGCCTTTAGGGACCATATATGGGGCTCGGAGGAGCTTTTAGGGACCATATATGGGGCTGGGAGGAGCCTTTAGGGACCATATATGGGGCTGAGAGGCGTCTTTAGGGACCATATATGGGGCTGAGAGGAGCCCTTAGGGACCATATATGGGGCTGAGAGGCATCTTTAGGGACCATATATGGGGCTGAGAGGTGTCTTTAGGGACCATATATGGGGCTGGGAGGAGCCTTTAGGGACCATATATGGAGGTGGGAGGAGCCTTTAGGGACCATATATGGGGCTCGGAGGAGCTTTTAGGGACCATATATGGGGCTGGGAGGAGCCTTTAGGGACCATATATGGGGCTGAGAGGCGTCTTTAGGGACCATATATGGGGCTGAGAGGAGCCCTTAGGGACCATATATGGGGCTGAGAGGCATCTTTAGGGACCATATATGGGGCTGAGAGGTGTCTTTAGGCACCATATATGGGGCTGGGAGGAGCCTTTAGGGACCATATGTGGGGCTGAGAGGCATCTTTAGGGACCATATATGGGGCTGGGAGGAGCCTTTAGGGACCATATATGGAGGTGGGAGGAGCCTTTAGGGACCATATATGGGGCTGGGAGGAGCCTTTAGGGACCATATATGGGGCTGATAGGGGTCTTTAGGCACCATATATGGGGCTGAGAGGAGCCCTTAGGGACCATATATGGGGCTGAGAGGCATCTTTAGGGACCATATATGGGGCTGGGAGGGGTCTTTAGGGACCATATATGGGGCTGAGAGGCATCTTTAGGGACCATATATGGGGCTGGGAGGAGCCTTTAGGGACCATATATGGGGCTGGGAGGGGTCTTTAGGGACCATATATGGGGCTGAGAGGCATCTTTAGGGACCATATATGGGGCTGGGAGGAGCCTTTAGGGACCATATATGGGGCTGGGAGGAGCCTTTAGGGACCATATATGGGGCTGAGAGAGCCTTATAAGGACCATATATGGGGCTGGGAGGAGCCTTTAGGGACCATATGTGGGGCTGGGAGGATCCTTTAGGGACCATATATGGGGCTGAGAGGGCCTTATAAGGACCATATATGGGGCTGGGAAGTTCATATAGGGACCTGCTATGTGCGTAGTAGCGGCCCTATGGGTCCGTGTCCCCGCCCCCTTACGGCGGCCCCTCCCCCTTTTAGCGTGACGTCATCGGTGACGCGTCGGAGACGGCGCTGCTGAAGTTCGCGGAGGTGACGTTGGGGCCGGTGGCGGCGCTGAGGGCCCGGTTCCCAAAGGTGGTGGAGCTGCCCTTTAACTCCAGCAACAAGTTCCAGGTGATGCAATGGGGCAATGGGGGGAATGGGGGGCAATGGGGGCAATGGGGGGAATGGGGGTAATGGGGGTAATGGGGGTAATGGGCTCAATGGGATCAATGAAGTCAATGAGGTCAATGGGATCAATGAGGTCAATGGGGTCAATGGGATCAATGGGGTCAATGGGGTCAATGGGATCAATGGGGGCAATGGGATCAATGGGGTCAATGGGGGCAATGGGATCAATGGGGTCAATGGGGTCAATGGGATCAATGGGATCAATGGGGTCAATGGGATCAATGGGGTCAATGGGGTCAATGGGATCAATGGGGTCAATGGGGTCAATGGGGTCAATGGGATCAATGAGGTCAATGGGGGCAATGGGGGCAATGGGCTCAATGGGATCAATGAAGTCAATGATGTCAATGGGATCAATGAGGACAATGGGATCAATGAAGTCAATGGGGTCAATGGGATCAATGAGGTCAATGGGATCAATGGGGTCAATGGGGTCAATGGGATCAATGGGGTCAATGGGGTCAATGGGATCAATGAGGTCAATGGGATCAATGGGGTCAATGGGGTCAATGGGGTCAATGGGGTCAATGGGATCCATGGGGTCAATGGGGGCAATGGGGGCAATGGGGGCAATGGGGTCAATGGGATCAATGGGGTCAATGAAGTCAACGGGGTCAATGGGATCAATGAGGTCAATGGGGGCAATGGGGGCAATGGGGTCAATGGGGTCAATGGGGGCAATGGGGTCAATGGGATCAATGGGGTAAATGAAGTCAATGAGGTCAATGGGATCAATGAGGTCAATGGGATCAATGGGGTCAATGGGGTCAATGGGATCAATGGGGTCAATGGGATCAATGAGGTCAATGGGATCAATGGGATCAATGAGGTCAATGGGGGCAATGGGATCAATGAGGTCAATGGGATCAATGAGGTCAATGGGATCAATGGGGTCAATGGGGTCAATGGGGTCAATGGGATCAATGGGGTCAATGGGGGCAATGGGGGCAATGGGGGCAATGGGGTCAATGGGATCAATGGGGTCAATGAAGTCAACGGGGTCAATGGGATCAATGAGGTCAATGGGGGCAATGGGGGCAATGGGGTCAATGGGGTCAATGGGGGCAATGGGGTCAATGGGATCAATGGGGTAAATGAAGTCAATGAGGTCAATGGGATCAATGAGGTCAATGGGATCAATGGGGTCAATGGGGTCAATGGGATCAATGGGGTCAATGGGATCAATGAGGTCAATGGGATCAATGAGGTCAATGGGATCAATGGGGGCAATGGGGTCAATGGGGGCAATGGGCTCAATGAGGTCAATGGGATCAATGGGGTCAATGGGGTCAATGGGGGCAATGGGCTCAATGAGGTCAATGGGATCAATGGGGTCAATGGGGTCAATGGGGGCAATGGGGTCAATGGGGGCAATGGGCTCAATGAGGTCAATGGGATCAATGAGGTCAATGGGATCAATGGGGTCAATGGGCTCAATGGGGGCAATGGGCTCAATGAGGTCAATGGGATCAATGAGGTCAATGGGATCAATGGGGTCAATGGGGGCAATGGGGGCAATGAGGTCAATGGGGGCAATGGGATCAATGAGGTCAATGGGGCAATGGGATCAATGAGGTCAATGGGGCAATGGGATCAATGGGGTCAACGGTGTCAATGGGATCAATGAAGTCAACGGGGTCAATGGGATCAATGGGGTCAATGGGGGCAATGGGATCAATGGGGTCAATGGGGTCAACGGGGTCAATGGGATCAATGAAGTCAACGGGGTCAATGGGATCAATGACGTCAATGGGGTCAATGGGATCAATGAGGTCAATGGGGGCAATGGGATCAATGACATCAATGGGGTCAATGGGATCAATGGGGTCAATGGGGTCAATGGGATCAATGGGGTCAATGAGGTCAATGGGATCAATGGGGTCAATGGGGGCAATGGGCTCAATGAGGTCAATGGCGTCAACCAATGGGGACAATGGGGGCGATGCTGAGCCCCCATAGCCCCTGGTGGGACCCCAATGACCTGGTGGGACCCAAAGGACCTTGGTTAAACCCATAAGCCTTGATGGGACCCATAGACCCTGAAGGGACCCAAAGATACCATTAGCACCCGTAGGCCCCATTGGCACCCATAGACCCCATTGGCACCCGTAGGCCCCATTGGCACCCATACACCCCATTGGCACCCATAGCACCCATAGGCACCCATAGCCCCCATTGGCACCCATAGCCCCCATAGGCCCCCATAGCCCCCATAAGCCCCCATAGCCCCCATAGCCCCCCATTAGCCCCCATAGCACTCATAGGCCCCCATAGCCCCCCACTGACACTCATAGCCCTCATAGGCACCCATAGCCCCCCATAGGCCCCCCATAGCCCCCCATAGCACCCCATTGGCACCCATAGCACCCATAGGCACCCATAGCACCCCATAGGCCCCCATAGCCCCCCATAGCACCCATTGACACCCATAGACCCCACTGGCACCCATAGCCCCCCATAGGCCCCCATAGCACCCCATAGGCCCCCATAGGCCCCCATAGCCCCCCATAGCACCCATAGCCCCCCATAGCCCCCCATAGCACCCATAGGCCCCCGTAGCCCCTCATAGCCCCCATAGCACCCATAGGCATCCATAGACCCCACTGGCACCCATAGGCCCCCATAGCCCCCCATAGCACCCATTGACACCCATAGCCCCCCATAGCCCCCCATAGCCCCCCATAGCCCCCCATAGCACCCATAGGCCCCCATAGCCCCCCATAGACACCCATAGCACCCCTTAGGCCCCCATAGCCCCCCATAGCCCCCCATAGCACCCATAGCCCCCCATAGCCCCCCATAGCCCCCATAGGCACCCATAGCCCCCCATAGGCCCCCATAGCCCCCCATAGCTCCCCATAGCACCCATAGCCCCCCATAGCCCCCCATAGCACCCATTGACCCCCATAGCCCCCCATAGCCCCCCATAGCCCCCATAGGCACCCATAGCCCCCCATAGGCACCCATAGCCCCCCATAGCCCCCATAGGCACCCATAGCCCCCCATAGCCCCCATAGGCACCCATAGCCCCCATAGCACCCATAGCCCCCCATAGCCCCCCATAGCCCCCATAGGCACCCATAGCACCCCATTGGCACCCATAGGTGTCCGTCCACGAGGCCGGGGAGCGGCAGGTGCTGGTGCTGAAGGGTGCCCCCGAGCGGGTCCTGGAGCGCTGCAGCCACGTCCTGCTCAAGGGCCAGGAGCTGCCCCTGGACCCCCAATGGAGGGAGGCCTTCGAGGGGGCCTATGCGGAGCTTGGGGGGCGCGGAGAGAGGGTCCTGGGTGAGTGGGGGCACATCCCATAATATCCCATATCCCATATCCATACCCCATACCCCATATCCCATACCCAATACCCCATACCCCATATCCCATACCCCATACCCCATATCCCATACCCCATACCCCATATCCCATATCCCATACCCCATACCCCATACCCCATACCCCATATCCCATACCCCATACCCCATACCCCACACCCCATACCCCATATCCCATACCCCATATCCCATATCCCATACCCCATACCCCATACCCCACACCCCATACCCCATATCCCACCCCCCACCCCACAGGGTTCTGTTCCCGCTGGCTCCCCGCCGGCTCCGTGCCTCCGGATGGGGACCCCGAGGAGCTCCCGGCCTTGGCCTCCGGGCTCTGCTTCAGCGGCCTCGTGGCCATGATCGACCCCCCCCGGGCCACCGTGCCCCAGGCCGTGCTCAAGTGCCGGACGGCGGGGATCAGGGTATGGGGTAATGGGGGGTAATGGGGGATAATGGGGGGTAATGGGGTTATAATGGGGGGTAATGGGGTTATAATGGGGGGATAATGGGGTTATAATGGGGTTATAATGGGGTTATAATGGGGTTATAATGGGGGGTAATGGGGTTATAATGGGGGGTAATGGGGTTATAATGGGGGGTAATGGGGTTATAATGGGGGGTAATGGGGTTATAATGGGGGATAATGGGGTTATAATGGGGTTATAATGGGGGGTAATGGGGTTATAATGGGGGATAATGGGGTTATAATGGGGGATAATGGGGGGATAATGGGGTTATAATGGGGGATAATGGGGGGATAATGGGGTTATAATGGGGGATAATGGGGTTATAATGGGGGATAATGGGGTTATAATGGGTTATAATGGGGGATAATGGGGGATAATGGGGTTATAATGAGGGATAATGGGGGATAATGGGGTTATAATGGGGTTATAATGAGGGATAATGGGGGATAATGGGGTTATAATGGGTTACAATGGGGTTATAATGGGGGATAATGGGGGACAATGGGGATAATGGAGGATAATGGGGGGATAATGGGGTATAATGATGTTATAATGGGGTTAAAATGGGGTATAATGTGGGATAACGTGGGTTAGGGTTACGGTTACGGTTATGGTTACGGTTATGGTTATGGTTATGGTTAGAGTTAGTTACAATGGGGTTATAATGGGGTATAATGGGTTATAATGGGGGATAACGGGGGATAATGGGGGATAACATGGGATAATGTGGGTTAGGGTTACAGTTAAGGTTATGGTTAGGATAATGGATAGTGGGGGATAATGGGGGATCACGGTGGGGGATAATGGAGGATAAAGGGGGATAATGGGGGATAATGTGGGTTAGGGTTACGGTTATGGTTCGGATAATGTGGGATAATGTGGGGTATGGGATATGTGCTATGGGATATGGGGTATGGGATATGTTGTATGGGATATGGGGTATGGGGTATCTGATATGGGATATGGAGTATGGGATATAGGATATGAGATATGGGATAGAGGATATGGGGTATGGGATATAGGATATGAGATATTGGATATGGGGTATGGGGTATGGGATATGGGGTATAGGATATGAGATATATGGTATGGGGTATGGGATATGGGGTATGGGATATAGGATATGAGATATGGGGTACGGGGTATAGGATATGGGGTATGGGATATGTTGTACAGAATATGGGGTATGGGGTATGGGGAATGGGGTTTGGAGTATGGAATATGGGGTATGGGGTATGGGATATAGGGTATGATGTATCTGATATGGGATATGAGATATGGGATATGGGGTTTGGGATATAGGATATGGGGTATGGGATGTGGGGTATGGGATATGGGGTATGGGATGTGGGGTATGGGATATGGCATATGTGATGTGGGGTATGGGATATGGGGTATGGGATGTGGGGTATGGGATATGGGGTATGGGATGTGGGGTATGGGATATGGGGTCATTGCTGCCCACACTGCCTCCTCCCACCCCTTGCCCCCCCCCCATAGGTGATCATGGTGACCGGGGACCACCCCATCACGGCCAAGGCCATCGCGGCCGCTGTGGGCATCATCTCCGAGGGCAGCGAGACCCCCGAGGAGGTGGCGGCGAGGCTGAGGGTGCCCTTGGAGCGCGTGGACCCCAGGTGGGAGCAGCGTGGCCATTGGTGGCCAATGGAGGTCATTGGTGGCCAATGGAGGTCATTGGGGGCCAATGGAGGTCATTGGGGGCCAATGGAGGTCATTCGTGGCCAATGGAGGTCACTGGGGGCCAATGGAGGTCATTGGTGGCCAATGGAGGTTTTTGGGGGCCAATGGAGGTCATTGGTGGCCAATGGAGGTCATTGGGGGGCAATGGAGGTCATTGGTGGCCAATGGAGGTCATTGGTGGCCAATGGAGATCATTGGTGGCCAATGGAGGTTTTTGGGGGCCAATGGAGGTCATTGGTGGCCAATGGAGGTCATTGGTGGACAATGGAGGTCATTGGTGGCCAATGGAGGTCTTTGGGGGCCAATGGAGGTCTTTGGGGGCCAATGGAGGTCATTGGGGGCCAATGGAGGTCATTGGGGGCCATTGGAGGTCATTGGTGGCCAATGGAGGTCATTAGGGGCCAATGGAGGTCATTGGTGGCCAATGAAGGTCATTGGGGGCCAATGGAGGTCATTGGTGGCCAATGGAGGTCATTGGGGGCCAATGGAGGTCATTGGTGGCCAATGGAGGTCATTGGGGGCCAATGGAGGTCATTGGGGGCCAATGGAGGTCATTGGTGGCCAATGGAGGTCATTGGGGGCCAATGGAGGTCATTGGTGGCCAATGGAGGTCATTGGGGGCCAATGGAGGTCATTGGGGGCCAATGGAGGTCATTCGTGGCCAATGGAGGTCATTGGGGGCCAATGGAGGTCATTGGGGGCCAATGGAGGTCATTGGTGGCCTGCGGGAGACATTGGTGGCCAATGGAGGTCATTGGGGGCCAATGGAGGTCATTCGTGGCCAATGGAGGTCATTGGGGGCCAATGGAGGTCATTGGGGGCCAATGGAGCACATTGGTGGCCAATGGAGGTCATTGGGGGCCAATGGAGGTCATTGGTGGGCAATGGAGGTCATTGGGGGCCAATGGAGGTCATTGGTGGCCAATGGAGGTCATTGGTGGCCAATGGAGGTCTTTGGGGGCCAATGGAGGTCTTTGGGGGCCAATGGAGGTCATTGGTGGCCAATGGAGCACATTGGTGGCCAATGGAGGTCTTTGGGGGCCAATGGAGGTCTTTGGGGGCCAATGGAGGTCATTGGGGGCCAATGGAGGTCTTTGGGGGCCAATGGAGGACATTGGTGGCCAATGGAGGTCATTGGGGGCCAATGGAGGTCATTGGGGGCCAATGGAGGTCTTTGGTGGCCAATGGAGGTCATTGGTGGCCTATGGAGGTCATTGGTGGCCAATGGAGGTCATTGGGGGCCATTGGAGGTCATTGGTGGCCAATGGAGGTCATTGGTGGCCAATGGAGGTCATGGGTGGCCTATGGAGGTCATTGGTTGCCAATGGAGGTCATTGGTGGCCAATGGAGCACATTGGGGGCCAATGGAGGTCATTGGTGGCCAATGGAGGTCTTTGGAGGCCAATGGAGGTCATTGGGGGCCAATGGAGCACATTGGTGGCCAATGGAGGTCATTGGTGGCCTATGGAGGTCATTGGTGGCCAATGGAGGTCATTGGTGGCCAATGGAGGTCATTGGTGGCCAATGGAGGTCATTGGTGGCCAATGGAGGTCTTTGGGGGCCAATGGAGGTCATTGGTGGCCAATGGAGCACATTGGTGGCCAATGGAGGTCTTTGGGGGCCAATGGAGGTCTTTGGGGGCCAATGGAGGTCATTGGGGGCCAATGGAGGTCATTGGGGGCCAATGGAGGTCATTGGTGGCCAATGGTGGCCATGGATGGACCATGGTGGCCATTTATGGCCCATGGCGGACATTGGTGGCCAATGGAAGTCATTGGTGGCCAATGGTGGCCATTGAGGGATTATGGTGGCCATTGGTGGACCATGGTTGATATCGATGGCCTAAGGTGGCCATTGATGGACCATGGTTGCCATTGGTGTTTTATGGTAGACACTGGTGGCCCATGGTGGCCATTGGTGGAGCGTGGTTGATATCAATGGCCTATGGTGGCCATTGATGGCCTACGGTGGCCCTTGAGGGACTATGGTGGCCATTGATGATCTATGGTGGCCATTAATGGTCAATGGTGGCCATTGGTGGCCCATGGTGACCATTAATGGTCTATGGTGGCCATTGATGGCCCATGGTGGCCACCACCATGTCTTGGGGCGCTTCAGCACCAAGGACAGGGGTCTAGACCATGGCGGCCATTGATGGTCAATGGTGGCCATTGGTGGCCCATGGTGGCCATTAATGGTCTATGGTAGCCATTGATGGCCCATGGTGGCCACCACCATGTTTTGGGGCGCTTCAGCACCAAGGACAGGGGTCTAGACCATGGCGGCCATTGATGGTCAATGGTGGCCATTGGTGGCCCATGGTGACCATTAATGGTCTATGGTAGCCATTGATGGCCCATGGTGGCCACCACCATGTCTTGGGGTGCTTCAGCACCAAGGACAGGGGTCTAGACCATGGCGGCCATTGATGGTCAATGGTGGCCATTGGTGGCCCATGGTGGCCACCACCATGTCTTGGGGTGCTTCAGCACCAAGGACAGGGGTCTAGACCATGGTAGCCATTGATGGTCTACGGCGGCCATTGATGGTCTATGGTGGCCATTGCTGGTCTATGGTAGCCATTGAAGGCCCCTGGTAGCCACCACCCCACCTGGGCGTGCTCCAGCCCCACAGATGGGGCTCCGAGGACCCACAAGTCCCCTGTGTGACCCCCAGGCAAGCCCGGGCTCGGGTGGTGACGGGGGCCGAGCTGGCGGCCATGACACCGGAAGCCCTCGAGGGTCTCCTCCGGACCCACCCCGAGATGGTTTTTGCCCGCACGTCCCCACAGCAGAAGCTGGTGATAGTGGAGAGCTGCCAGCGGCTGGTGGGACATGGGATGGGGGGTGTGGGGTGTGGGGTGTGGGTATGGGGTATGGGATATGGGGTGTGGGATATGGGCTGTGGGATATGGGGTATGGGGTGTGGGGTATGGGGTATGGGGTGTGGGGTGTGTTGTGTGGGGTATGGGATATGGGGTATGGGGTATGGGATATGGGATATGGGGTATGGGATATGGGGTGTGGGTTGTGGGGTGTGGGGTGTGGGGTATGGGGTATGGGGTGTGGGGTATGGGATGTGGGGTGTGGGGTATGGGGTATGGGATGTGGGGTATGGGGTATGGAGTATGGGGTATGGAGTATGGGATATGGGGTATGGGATGTGGGGTATGGGGTATGGAGTATGGGGTATGGAGTATGGGATATGGGGTATGGGATGTGGGGTATGGGGTATGGAGTATGGGATATGGGGTATGGTATATGGGGTGTGGGATATGGGGTATGGGATGCGGGGTGTGGGATATGGGGCGTCAGGTAGTCATGGAGTATGGGATATGGGATATGGGATATGGGGTATGGTATATGGGGTGTGGGATATGGGGTATGGGATGTGGGGTATGGGATATGGGGCGTCAGGTATGGGGTGTGGGATATGGGATATGGGATATGGGGTATGGTATATGGGGTGTGGGATATGGGGTATGGGATGTGGGGTATGGGATATGGGGCGTCAGGTATGGGGTGTGGGATATGGGATATGGGATATGGGGCATGGGATATGGGATATAGGATATGGGGTATGGGATATGGAGTGTGGCGTATGGGGTATGTGAGGGTATGGGGCTCTCTGGGTCTTCCCTCTTAGCCTCCTTGGCTCCTCCTGCACCCCACATCCCCACCCCAACCCCCCCATCCCCACCCCCCCATCCCCAACGCCCCCACCCCACATCCCCATCCCCTAGGGCGCCATCGTGGCGGTGACGGGCGACGGCGTCAACGATTCGCCGGCGTTGAAGAAGGCCGACATCGGCGTGGCCATGGGCATCGCCGGCTCCGACGCCGCCAAGAACGCCGCCGACATGATCCTATTGGACGACAACTTCGCCTCCATCGTCACCGGCGTCGAGCAGGGTGCGAGGGGGCCGTGGGGCGCAATGGGGCGGGGGTGGGGGGGACGGACCCGACATTGAGGTTGATGGGGGTTTGGGTGCCCAACGTTGAGGTCTATGGGTCTTTGGGTACCCAACGTTGAGGTCGATGGGGGTTTGGGTACCCAACGTTGAGGTCAATGGGTCTTTGGGTACCCAACGTTGAGGTCGATGGGTCTTTGGGTACCCAACGTTGAGGTCGATGGGGGTTTGGGTACCCAACGTTGAGGTCAATGGGTCTTTGGGTACCCAACGTTGAGGTCTATGGGGGTTTGGGGACCCAACGTTGAGGTCAATGAGTCTTTGGGTACCCAACGTTGAGGTCTATGGGGGTTTGGGGACACAATATTGAGGTCGATGGGGGTTTGGGGACCCAACGTTGAGGTCTATGGGGCTTTGGGGACCCAACAGCGTGGTCTATGGGGGTTTGGGTACCCAACGTTGAGGTCGATGGGTCTTTGGGTACCCAACGTTGAGGTCTATGGGGGTTTGGGTGCCCAACGTTGAGGTCTATGGGGGTTTGGGTACCCAACGTTGAGGTCAATGGGTCTTTGGGTACCCAACGTTGAGGTCGATGGGGGTTTGGGGACCCAGCGTTGAGGTCGATGGGTCTTTGGGTACCCAACGTTGAGGTCTATGAGGGTTTGGGGACCCAACGTTGAGGTCTATGGGGGTTTGGGGACCCAACGTTGAGGTCTATGGGGGTTTGGGTACCCAACGTTGAGGTCGATGGGTCTTTGGGGACCCAACGTTGAGGTCAATGGGTCTTTGGGTACCCAACGTTGAGGTCAATGGGTCTTTGGGTACCCAACGTTGAGGTCGATGGGTCTTTGGGTACCCAACGTTGAGGTCTATGAGGGTTTGGGGACCCAACGTTGAGGTCTATGGGGGTTTGGGTACCCAACGTTGAGGTCTATGGGGGTTTGGGTGCCCAACGTTGAGGTCTATGGGGGTTTGGGTACCCAACGTTGAGGTCTATGGGGGTTTGGGGACCCAGCGTTGAGGTCGATGGGTCTTTGGGTACTCAACGTTGAGGTCTATGGGTCTTTGGGTACCCAACGTTGAGGTCTATGGGGGTTTGGGGACCCAACATTGAGGTCGATGGGTCTTTGGGTACCCAACGTTGAGGTCTATGGGGGTTTGAGGACCCAACGTTGAGGTCTATGGGGGTTTGGGGACACAATATTGAGGTCGATGGGGGTTTGGGGACCCAACGTTGAGGTCTATGGGGGTTTGGGGACACAATATTGAGGTCGATGGGGGTTTGGGGACCCAACGTTGAGGTCTATGGGGGTTTGGGTGCCCAACGTTGAGGTCTATGGGGGTTTGGGGACCCAATGTTGAGGTCTATGAGGGTTTGGGGACCCAACATTGAGGTCTATGGGGGTTTGGGGACCCAACGTTGAGGTCTATGAGGGTTCGGGCACCCCCATTGGGTCTTTGGGTCCTTGGCCATTGGGTCTTTGGGTCATTGGGTCCTTGGTCATTGGGTCCTTGGCCATTGGGTCTTTGGCCATTGGGTCTTTGGGTCCTTGACCATTGGGTGCTTGGGTCCTTGTCCATTGGGTCCTTGGCTCTTTGGGTCCTTGGCCATTGGGTCTTTGGGTCCTTGGCCATTGGGTCTTTGGGTCCTTGGCCATTGGGTCCTTGGGTCCTTGGGTCCTTGCCCATTGGGTCCTTGGGTCTTTGGCCATTGGGTCCTTGGGTCTTTAGCTCCTTGGCCATTGGGTCTTTGGGTCCTTGGTCATTGGGTCCTTGACCATTGGGTCTTTGGGTCCTTGGCCATTGGGTCCTTGGGTCTTTGGTCATTGGGTCTTTGGGTCCTTGGTCTTTGGGTCCTTGACCATTGGGTCTTTGGGTCCTTGACCATTGGGTCTTTGGGTCCTTGACCATTGGGTCCTTGGGTCCTTGACCATTGGGTCCTTGGCTCCTTGTCCATTGGTCTTTGGGTCGTTGGCCATTGGCTCCTTGGCCATTGGGTCCTTGGCTCCTTGGGTCTTTGGCTCCTTGGCCATTGGGTCTTTGGGTCCTTGGGTCTTTGGCTCCTTGACCGTTGGGTCTTTGGCTCCTTGGCCATTGGGTCCTTGGGTCCTTGGCCATTGGGTCCTTGGGTCTTTGGGTCTTTGGGTCCTTGACCATTGGGTCTTTGGGTCCTTGCCCATTGGGTCTTTGGCTCCTTGGCCATTGGGTCTTTGGGTCCTTGCCCATTGGGTCTTTGGCTCCTTGCCCATTGGGTCTTTGGCTCCTTGCCCATTGGGTCTTTGGCTCCTTGCCCATTGGGTCCTTGGGTCCTTGGCCATTGGGTCCTTGGGTCTTTGGGTCTTTGGGTCCTTGACCATTGGGTCTTTGGGTCCTTGGGTCCTTGGGTCTTTGGGTCCTTGGCCATTGGGTCTTTGGGTCCTTGGGTCCTTGGCTCCTTGGCCATTGGGTCTTTGGGTCCTTGACCATTGGGTCCTTGGCTCCTTGGCCATTGGGTCCTTGGCTCCGTGGCCATTGGGTCCTTGCCCATTGGGTCTTTGGCTCCGTGGCCATTGGGTCTTTGGGTCCTTGGCTCGTTGCCCATTGGGTCTTTGGCTCCTTGGCTCCTTGCCCATTGGGTCTTTGGGTCCTTGGCCCCATGGCCAGGCCCTGACCCCCCCCCCCCAACCCCCAAAGGCCGCCTGATCTTCGACAACCTCAAGAAGTCCATTGCCTACACCTTGACCAAGAACATCCCCGAGCTGACCCCTTACCTCATCTACATCACGGCCAGCATCCCCCTGCCCCTCGGCTGCATCACCATCCTCTTCATCGAGCTCTGCACCGACATCGTGAGCCCCATTGTTGGGGGGTGGGGTTGGGGGGGGTGTTCCTCGCCCCGATTCCCCTATAGGGACATCTCCCCATAGGAGATGATGGAGGCAGTGGGGGTTCGCAGATGGGGGTCGTCACCATCGAGGCCCCATTGAAAAGGGTCGATCCATTGAGGGTCGCCATTGGGGTGCCCCATAGGAGATGATGGAGACATTGGGGGTCCCATATGTGGGTCGTCACCATCGAGGCCCCATTGAAAAGGGTCGATCCATTGAGGGTCTCCATTGGGGTGCCCCATAGGAGATGATGGAGGCATTGGGGGTCCCGTATGTGGGTCGTCACCATCGAGGCCCCATTGAAAAGGGTCGATCCATTGAGGGTCTCCATTGGGGTGCCCCATAGGAGATCATGGAGGCATTGGGGGTCCCATATGGATGTGTGGGTCACCACCATCGAGTCCCCATTGATAGGGGTCCATCCATTGAGGTTCTCCATAGGGGTGCCCCATAGAAGATGATGGAGACATTGGGGGTCCCGTATGGATGTGTGGGTCACGACCATCCACACCCCATTGAAAAGGGTCCATCCATTGTGCTTCTCCATTGGGGTACCCCATAGGATCCATGGGGCTGCCCTATAGATATATGGGTCACCCCCATTGACTCCATCCATCCATTGAGCTTCTCCATTGGGCTACCCCATAGGAACCATGGGGCTGCCCTATAGACATATGGGTCACCCCCATTGACTCCATCCATCCATTGAGCTTCTCCATTGGGGTACCCCATAGGAACTGGGTACCCCATAGGATCCATGGGGCTGCCCTATAGACATATGGGTCACCCCCATTGACTCCATCCATCCATTGAGCTTCTCCATTGGGCTACCCCATAGGAACCATGGGGCTGCCCTATAGATATATGGGTCACCCCCATTGACTCCATCCATTGAGCTTCTCCATTGGGCTACCCCATAGGATCCATGGGGCTGCCCTATAGACATATGGGTCACCCCCATTGACTCCATCCATCCATTGAGCTTCTCCATTGGGCTACCCCATAGGAACCATGGGGCTGCCCTATAGATATATGGGTCACCCCCATTGACTCCATCCATTGAGCTTCTCCATTGGGCTACCCCATAGGATCCATGGGGCTGCCCTATAGACATATGGGTCACCCCCATTGACTCCATCCATCCATTGAGCTTCTCCATTGGGCTACCCCATAGGAACCATGGGGCTGCCCTATAGATATATGGGTCACCCCCATTGACTCCATCCATTGAGCTTCTCCATTGGGGTACCCCATAGGATCCATGGGGCTGCCCTATAGATATATGGGTCACCCCCATTGACTCCATCCATCCATTGAGCTTCTCCATTGGGCTACCCCATAGGAACCATGGGGCTGCCCTATAGATATATGGGTCACCCCCATTGACTCCATCCATCCATTGAGCTTCTCCATTGGGGTACCCCATAGGATCCATGGGGCTGCCCTATAGACATATGGGTCACCCCCATTGACTCCATCCATCCATTGAGCTTCTCCATTGGGCTACCCCATAGGATCCATGGGGCTGCCCTATAGATATATGGGTCACCCCCATTGACTCCATCCATCCATTGAGCTTCTCCATTGGGGTACCCCATAGGAACCATGGGGCTGCCCTATAGATATATGGGTCACCCCCAATGACTCCATCCATCCATTGAGCTTCTCCATTGGGGTACCCCATAGGATCCATGGGGCTGCCCTATAGATATATGGGTCACCCCCATTGACTCCATCCATCCATTGAGCTTCTCCATTGGGCTACCCCATAGGAACTGGGTACCCCATAGGATCCATGGGGCTGCCCTATAGATATATGGGTCACCCCCATTGACTCCATCCATCCATTGAGCTTCTCCATTGGGGTACCCCATAGGATCCATGGGGCTGCCCTATAGACATATGGGTCACCCCCATTGACTCCATCCATCCATTGAGCTTCTCCATTGGGCTACCCCATAGGATCCATGGGGCTGCCCTATAGATATATGGGTCACCCCCATTGACTCCATCCATCCATTGAGCTTCTCCATTGGGCTACCCCATAGGAACCATGGGGCTGCCCTATAGACATATGGGTCACCCCCATTGACTCCATCCATCCATTGAGCTTCTCCATTGGGGTACCCCATAGGATCCATGGGGCTGCCCTATCGATATATGGGTCACCCCCATTGACTCCATCCATCCATTGTGCTTCTCCATTGGGGTACCCCATATAGGATCCATGGGGCTGCCCTATAGATATATGGGTCACCCCCATTGACTCCATCCATCCATTGAGCTTCTCCATTGGGGTACCCCATATAGGATCCATGGGGCTGCCCTATAGATATATGGGTCACCCCCATTGACTCCATCCATCCATTGAGCTTCTCCATTGGGGTACCCCATAGGAACTGGGTACCCCATAGGATCCATGGGGCTGCCCTATAGATATATGGGTCACCCCCATTGACTCCATCCATCCATTGAGCTTCTCCATTGGGGTACCCCATAGGAACCATGGGGCTGCCCTATAGACATATGGGTCACCCCCATTGACTCCATCCATCCATTGAGCTTCTCCATTGGGGTACCCCATAGGATCCATGGGGCTGCCCTATAGACATATGGGTCACCCCCAATGACTCTACCCATCCATTGAGCTTCTCCATTGGGGTACCCCATAGGATCCATGGGGCTGCCCTATAGATATATGGGTCACCCCCATTGACTCCATCCATCCATTGAGCTTCTCCATTGGGGTACCCCATAGGATCCATGGGGCTGCCCTATAGACATATGGGTCACCCCCAATGACTCTACCCATCCATTGAGCTTCTCCATTGGGGTACCCCATAGGATCCATGGGGCTGCCCTATAGACATATGGGTCACCCCCAATGACTCTACCCATCCATTGAGCTTCTCCATTGGGGTACCCCATAGGATCCATGGGGCTGCCCTATAGATATATGGGTCACCCCCATTGACTCCATCCATCCATTGAGCTTCTCCATTGGGCTACCCCATAGGAACCATGGGGCTGCCCTATAGATATATGGGTCACCCCCATTGACTCCATCCATCCATTGAGCTTCTCCATTGGGGTACCCCATAGGATCCATGGGGCTGCCCTATAGATATATGGGTCACCCCCATTGACTCCATCCATCCATTGAGCTTCTCCATTGGGGTACCCCATAGGAACCATGGGGCTGCCCTATAGATATATGGGTCACCCCCATTGACTCCATCCATCCATTGAGCTTCTCCATTGGGCTACCCCATAGGATCCATGGGGCTGCCCTATAGACATATGGGTCACCCCCATTGACTCCATCCATCCATTGAGCTTCTCCATTGGGCTACCCCATAGGAACCATGGGGCTGCCCTATAGACATATGGGTCACCCCCATTGACTCCATCCATCCATTGAGCTTCTCCATTGGGCTACCCCATAGGATCCATGGGGCTGCCCTATAGATATATGGGTCACCCCCATTGACTCCATCCATCCATTGAGCTTCTCCATTGGGCTACCCCATAGGAACTGGGTACCCCATAGGATCCATGGGGCTGCCCCACGGATGTGTGGGTCCCCGAGCGCCCCCTTCCTGCCCCACAGTTCCCCTCCGTGTCCTTGGCCTATGAGAGGGCCGAGAGCGACATCATGCACCTGAGGCCCCGCAACCCCCGGCGCGACCGATTGGTCAACGAGCCCCTGGCTGCTTACTCCTATTTCCAGATAGGTGGGGGGGCACCCATGGGTGGGGGGGGGGGGGGGCACCCATGGGTGGGGGGGGTGGGGGGCACCCATGGGTGGGGGGGGGGGGTTGGGGGCACCCATGGGGGGGGGGGGGGGGGGGGCACCCATGGGTGGGGGGGGGGGTTGGGGGCACCCATGGGTGGGGGGGTGGGGGGGGGCACCCATGGGTGGGGGGGTTGGGGTGGCACCCATGGGTGGGGGGGGGGGGGGGGCACCCATGGGTGGGGGGGGGGGGGGGGGGGGCACCCATGGGTGGGGGGGGTTGGGGGGGCACCCATGGGTGGGGGGGGTAAGCAATGGGTGGGGTGGGGAGCACCTATGGGTGGGGTGGGAGCACCCATGGGTGGGGTGGGGGGGCACCCATGGGTGGGTGGGTGGGGAGCACCCATGGGTGGGGGGGGGGGGGGCACCCATGGGTGGGGGGGTGGTGGGGCACCCATGGGGGGGGGGGGGGGGGGGGCACCCATGGGGGGGGGGGGGTTGGGGGGGCACCCATGGGTGGGGGGGGTAAGCAATGGGTGGGGTGGGGAGCACCTATGGGTGGGGGAGCACCTATGGGTGGGTGGGGAGCACCCATGGGTGGGGTGGGAGCACCCATGGGTGGGGTGGGGGGGCACCCATGGGTGGGTGGGTGGGGAGCACCCATGGGTGGGGGGGGGGGGGGCACCCATGGGTGGGGGGGTGGTGGGGCACCCATGGGGGGGGGGGGGGGGGGGCACCCATGGGGGGGGGGGGGTTGGGGGCACCCATGGGGGGGGGGGTTGGGGGGGCACCCATGGGTGGGGGGGGGGTTGGGGGCACCCATGGGTGGGGGGGGGGTTGGGCACCCATGGGTGGGGGGGGTGAGGGGGGCACCCATGGGTGGGGGGGGTAAGCAATGGGTGGGGTGGGAGCACCTATGGGTGGGGTGGGGGGGCACCCATGGGTGGGTGGGAGCACCCATAGGTGTGGGGGGGTAAGCAATGGGTGGGGTGGGGAGCACCTATGGGGGGGGACACCTATGGGTGGGGTGGGGGCACCCATGGGGGGGGGGTGGGGGGGCACCCATGGGTGGGGGGGGTAAGCAATGGGTGGGGTGGGAGCACCTATGGGTGGGGTAGGGGGGGCACCCATGGGTGGGGTAGGGGGGCACCCATGGGTGGGTGGGAGCACCCATAGGTGTGGGGGGATAAGCAATGGGTGGGGTGGGAGCACCCATGGGGGAGGGACACCTATGGGTTGGGGGGGGGGGGCACCCATGGGTGGGGGAGCACCTATGGGTGGGTGGGGAGCACCCATGGGTGGGGGGGGGGGGGGCACCCATGGGGGTGGGGGGGGGGGCACCCATGGGTGGGGGGGGTAAGCAATGGGTGGGGTGGGAGCACCTATGGGTGGGGTAGGGGGGCACCCATGGGTGGGGTAGGGGGGCACCCATGGGTGGGTGGGGAGCACCCATAGGTGTGGGGGGGGTAAGCAATGGGTGGGGTGGGGAGCACCTATGGGGGGGGACACCTATGGGTGGGGTGGGGGGGCACCCATGGGTTGGGGGGGGGGCACCCATGGGTGGATGGGGGGACACCCATGGGTGGGGGAGCACCTATGGGGGGGGGGGGGGGGAGCACCCATGGGTGGGGGGGGTGGGGGGGGCACCCATGGGTGGGGGGGGCACCTATGGGGGGGGGGCACCCATGGGGGGGAATGGGGGGGGCACCCATGGGTGGTGGTAAGCAATGGGTGGGGGTGGGGGAGCACCTATGGGGGGGGGGAGCACCTATGGGTGGAATGGGGGGCACCCATGGGTTGGGGGGGGGGGGGGCACCCATGGGTGGGGGGTGGGAGTAATCAATGGGGGAGGTAATCAAAGGGTTGGGCTTTGGGTCTATGGGTCCTTGGGTGTATGTGTCACTGACCTCTGCCCCATTGATCTATGGGTCCCCGCCCCACTGATCTCTGCCCCACTGATCTATGGGTCCTGCCCCACTGATCTCTGCCCCACTGATCTCTGCCCCACTGATCCCATGGGTCCCTGCCCCACTGATCTCTGTGTCCCTGCCCCACTGATCTCTGCCCCACTGATCCCTGCCCCACTGATCCATGGGTCCCTCCCCACTGATCTCTGTGTCCCTGCCCCACTGATCCCTGCCCCACTGATCCATGGGTCCCTGCCCCACTGATCTCTGCCCCACTGATCCATGGGTCCCGCCCCACTGATCCCTGGGCCCCGCCCCCCGCAGGCGCCATCCAATCCTTCGCGGGTTTCACCGATTACTTCGTGGCGATGGCGCAGGAGGGGTGGGAGCCGCTGCTCTGCCTCGGCCTCCGCCCGCGGCTGGGAGGATCCCCACAACCAGGAGCTGCAGGACAGCTACGGCCAGCAATGGGTGCCTATGGGGCAGACCCATAGAGAGACCTATAGAGAGACCCCTATGGGGCAGACCCATAGAGAACCAATATGGGGCAGACCCATAGAGAAACACCTATGGAACCCTATGGGGCCAGCAATGGGTGCCTATGGGCAGACCCATAGAGAACCCTATGGAACCCTATGGGGCAGACCCATAGAGAAACCCTATGGAACCCTATGGGGCAGACCCATAGAGAGACCCCATAGAGAACCCCTATGGAACCCTATGGGGCAGACCCATAGAGAAACCCTATGGAACCCTATGGGCAGACCCATAGAGAAACCCCATAGAGAAACCCTATGGGAACACTATGGGGCCAGCAATGGGTGCCTATGGGGCAGACCCATAGAGAGACCCATAGAGAACCCCTATGGAACCCTATGGGGCAGACCCATAGAGAAACCCTATGGAACCCTATGGGGCAGACCCATAGAGAACCCCTATGGAACCCTATGGGGCCAGCAATGGGTGCCTATGGGGCAGACCCATGGAGAAACCCCATAGAGAAACCCCTATGGGGCAGACCCATAGAGAGACCCCTATGGAACCCTATGGGGCCAGCAATGGGTGCCTATGGGGCAGACCCATAGAGAAACCCCTATGGGGCAGACCCATGGAGAAACCCCATAGAGAAACCCCAATGGAACCCTATGGGGCAGACACATAGAGAAACCCCTATGGAACCCTATGGGGCCAGCAATGGGTGCCTATGGGGCAGACCCATAGAGAACCAATATGGGGCAGACCCATACAGAAACCCCATAGAGAAACCCCTATGGGGCAGACCCATAGAGAACCAATATGGGGCAGACCCATAGAGAAACCCCTATGGGGCAGACCCATAGAGAACCCCTATGGAACCCTATGGGGCCAGCAATGGGTGCCTATGGGGCAGACCCATAGAGAACCCCTATGGAACCCTATGGGGCCAGCAATGGGTGCCTATGGGGCAGGACCCATAGAGAGACCCCTATGGGGCAGACCCATAGAGAAACCCCATAGAGAAACCCCTATGGAACCCTATGGGGCAGACCCATAGAGAACCAATATGGAACCCTATGGTGCCAGCAATGGGAGCCTATGGGGCAGACCCATAGAGAACCCCTATGGGGCAGACACATAGAGAAACCCCTATGGAACCCTATGGGGCAGACCCATAGAGAAACCCTATAGAGAGACCCCTATGGAACCCTATGGGGCCAGCAATGGGTGCCTATGGGGCAGACCCACAGAGAAACCCCATAGAGAAACCCCTATGGGGCAGACCCATAGAGAACCCTAGAGAGAAACCCCTATGGAACCCTATGGGGCCAGCAATGGGTGCCTATGGGGCAGACACATAGAGAAACCCCATAGAGAACCCCTATGGGGCAGACCCATGGAGAAACCCCTAAGGGGCAGACACATAGAGAAACCCCTATGGAACCCTAAGGGGCCAGCAATGGGTGCCTATGGGGCAGACCCATAGAGAGACCCCATAGAGAAACCCCTATGGGGCAGACCCATAGAGAGACCCCATAGAGAAACCCCTATGGGGCAGACCCATAGAGAAACCCCATAGAGAAACCCCTATGGAACCCTATGGGGCCAGCAATGGGTGCCTATGGGGCAGACCCATAGAGAAACCCCTATGGAACCCTATGGGGCCAGCAATGGGTGCCTATGGGGCAGACCCATAGAGAAACCCCATAGAGAAACCCCTATGGAACCCTATGGGGCAGACCCATGGAGAGACCCCTATGGGGCAGACCCATAGAGAAACCTATAGAGAGACCCCTATGGGGCAGACCCATAGAGAACCAATATGGAACCCTATGGGGCCAGCAATGGGTGCCTATGGGGCAGACCCATAGAGAGACCCCTATGGAACCCTATGGGGCAGACCCATGGAGAACCCCTATAGAGAGACCCCTATGGGGCAGACCCATAGAGAGACCCCTATGGAACCCTATGGGGCAGACCCATAGAGAGACCCCATAGAGAAACCCCTATGGAACCCTATGGGGCCAGCAATGGGTGCCTATGGGGCAGACCCATAGAGAAACCCTATGGAACCCTATGGGGCCAGCAATGGGTGCCTATGGGGCAGACCCATAGAGAGACCCCATAGAGAAACCCCTATGGAACCCTATGGGGCCAGCAATGGGTGCCTATGGGGCAGACCCATAGAGAGACCCCATAGAGAAACCCCTATGGGGCAGACCCATAGAGAAACCCCATAGAGAAACCCCTATGGAACCCTATGGGGCCAGCAATGGGTGCCTATGGGCAGACACATAGAGAAACCCCATAGAGAACCCCTATGGGGCAGACCCATGGAGAAACCCCTATGGGGCAGACACATAGAGAAACCCCTATGGAACCCTAAGGGGCCAGCAATGGGTGCCTATGGGGCAGACCCATAGAGAGACCCCATAGAGAAACCCCTATGGGGCAGACCCATAGAGAGACCCCATAGAGAAACCCCTATGGGGCAGACCCATAGAGAGACCCCATAGAGAAACCCCTATGGAACCCTATGGGGCCAGCAATGGGTGCCTATGGGGCAGACCCATAGAGAAACCCCATAGAGAAACCCCTATGGGGCAGACCCATAGAGAACCCCTATGGAACCCTATGGGGCAGACCCATAGAGAAACCCCATAGAGAAACCCCTATGGGGCAGACCCATAGAGAACCCCTATGGAACCCTATGGGGCCAGCAATGGGTGCCTATAGGGCAGACCCATAGAGAACCAATATAGGGCAGACCCATAGAGAGAATCCCCTATGGGGCAGACCCATAGAGAACCAATATAGGGCAGACCCATAGAGAGAATCCCCTATGGGGCAGACCCATAGAGAACCCTAGAGAGAAACCCCTATAGAACCCTATGGGGCAGACCCATAGAGAACCCCTATGGGGCAGACCATAGAGAAACCCCATAGAGAAACCCCTATGGAACCCTATGGGGCAGACCCATAGAGAAACCCCTATGGGGCAGACCCATAGAGAAACCCTAGAGAGAAACCCCTATAGAACCCTATGGGGCAGACCCATAGAGAACCCCTATGGGGCAGACCCATGGAGAAACCCCATAGAGAACCCCTATGGGGCAGACCCATGGAGAAACCCCTATGGGGCAGACACATAGAGAAACCCCTATGGAACCCTAAGGGGCCAGCAATGGTGCCTATGGGGCAGACCCATAGAGAAACCCCTATGGGGCAGACCCATGGAGAAACCCCTATGGGGCAGACCCATAGAGAACCAATATGGAACCCTATGGGGCCAGCAATGGGTGCCTATGGGGCAGACCCATGGAGAACCCCTATAGAGAAACCCCTATGGGGCAGACCCATAGAGAAACCCTATAGAGAAACCCCTATGGAACCCTATGGGGCAGACCCATGGAGAAACCCCATAGAGAAACCCCTATGGAACCCTATGGGGCCAGCAATGGGTGCCTATGGGGCAGACCCATAGAGAACCCCTATAGAGAAACCCCTATGGGGCAGACCCATAGAGAAACCCCTATAGAGAAACCCCTATGGAACCCTATGGGGCAGACCCATAGAGAACCCCTATGGGGCAGACCCATGGAGAACCCCTATAGAGAAACCCCTATGGAACCCTAAGGGGCCAGCAATGGGTGCCTATGGGGCAGACCCATAGAGAGACCCCATAGAGAACCCCTATGGAACCCTATGGGGCAGACACATAGAGAAACCCCTATGGAACCCTATGGGGCCAGCAATGGGTGCCTATGGGGCAGACCCATGGAGAAACCCCTATAGAGAGACCCCTATGGGGCAGACCCATAGAGAACCAATATAGGGCAGACCCATAGAGAGAATCCCCTATGGGGCAGACCCATAGAGAACCCCTATAGAGAAACCCCTATGGGGCAGACCCATAGAGAAACCCCATAGAGAAACCCCTATGGAACCCTATGGGGCAGACCCATAGAGAGACCCCATAGAGAAACCCCTATGGGGCAGACCCATAGAGAACCCCTATGGAACCCTATGGGGCAGACCCATAGAGAAACCCTATGGGGCAGACCCCATGGAGAACCAATATGGGGCAGACCCATAGAGAAACCCCATAGAGAAACCCCTATGGGGCAGACCCATGCAGAAACCCTATGGGGCAGACCCATAGAGAACCAATATGGAACCCTATGGGGCAGACCCATAGAGAACCAATATGGGGCAGACCCATAGAGAAACCCCTATGGGGCAGACCCATAGAGAACCCCTATGGAACCCTATGGGGTCAGCAATGGGTGCCTATAGGGCAGACCCATAGAGAACCAATATAGGGCAGACCCATAGAGAGAATCCCCTATGGGGCAGACCCATAGAGAACCCTAGAGAGAAACCCCTATAGAACCCTATGGGGCAGACCCATAGAGAACCCCTATGGGGCAGACCCATAGAGAAACCCCATAGAGAAACCCCTATGGAACCCTATGGGGCAGACCCATAGAGAAACCCCTATGGGCAGACCCATAGAGAACCCTAGAGAGAAACCCCTATAGAACCCTATGGGGCAGACCCATAGAGAACCCCTATGGGGCAGACCCATAGAGAAACCCCATAGAGAACCCCTATGGGGCAGACCCATGGAGAAACCCCTATGGGGCAGACACATAGAGAAACCCCTATGGAACCCTAAGGGGCCAGCAATGGGTGCCTATGGGGCAGACCCATAGAGAAACCCCTATGGGGCAGACCCATGGAGAAACCCCTATGGGGCAGACCCATAGAGAACCAATATGGAACCCTATGGGGCCAGCAATGTGCCTATGGGGCAGACCCATGGAGAACCCCTATAGAGAGACCCCTATGGAACCCTATGGGGCCAGCAATGGGTGCCTATGGGGCAGACCCATAGAGAGAATCCCCTATGGGGCAGACCCATAGAGAAACCCCATAGAGAAACCCCTATGGGGCAGACCCATAGAGAAACCCCTATGGGGCAGACCCATGGAGAAACCCTATGGGGCAGACCCATAGAGAAACCCCATAGAGAAACCCCTATGGGGCAGACCCATAGAGAAACCCCTATGGAACCCTATGGGGCCAGCAATGGGTGCCTATGGGGCAGACCCATAGAGAAACCCCATAGAGAAACCCCTATGGGGCAGACCCATAGAGAACCAATATGGGGCAGACCCATAGAGAAACCCTATGGAACCCTATGGGGCCAGCAATGGGTGCCTATGGGGCAGACCCATGGAGAAACCCTATGGGGCAGACCCATAGAGAAACCCTATGGAACCCTATGGGGCCAGCAATGGGTGCCTATGGGGCAGACCCATAGAGAGACCCCTATGGAACCCTATGGGGCAGACCCATAGAGAACCAATATGGGGCAGACCCATGGAGAACCCCTATGGAACCCTATGGGGCCAGCAATGGGTGCCTATGGGGCAGACCCATAGAGAGACCCCATAGAGAAACCCCTATGGGGCAGACCCATAGAGAAACCCCATAGAGAAACCCCTATGGAACCCTATGGGGCCAGCAATGGGTGCCTATGGGGCAGACCCATAGAGAAACCCTATGGAACCCTATGGGGCCAGCAATGGGTGCCTATGGGGCAGACCCATAGAGAGACCCTATGGGGCAGACCCATAGAGAAACCCCATAGAGAAACCCCTATGGGACCATGTGGGGCAGACCCATAGAGAAACCCCATAGAGAAACCCCTATGGGGCAGACCCATGGAGAAACCCCATAGAGAAACCACTATGGAACCCTATGGGGCCAGCAATGGGTGCCTATGGGGCAGACCCATAGAGAAACCCTATGGAACCCTATGGGGCCAGCAATGGGTGCCTATGGGGCAGACCCATAGAGAGACCCCATAGAGAAACCCCTATGGGGCAGACCCATAGAGAAACCCCATAGAGAAACCCCTATGGAACCCTATGGGGCCAGCAATGGGTGCCTATGGGGCAGACCCATAGAGAACCCCTATGGAACCCTATGGGGCCAGCAATGGGTGCCTATGGGGCAGACCCATAGAGAACCCCTATGGAACCCTATGGGGCCAGCAATGGGTGCCTATGGGGCAGACCCATAGAGAGACCCCTATGGGGCAGACCCATAGAGAAACCCCATAGAGAAACCCCTATGGGACCATGTGGGGCAGACCCATAGAGAAACCCCATAGAGAAACCCCTATGGGGCAGACCCATGGAGAAACCCCATAGAGAAACCACTATGGAACCCTATGGGGCCAGCAATGGGTGCCTATGGGGCAGACCCATAGAGAAACCCTATGGAACCCTATGGGGCCAGCAATGGGTGCCTATGGGGCAGACCCATAGAGAACCAATATGGAACCCTATGGGGCCAGCAATGGGTGCCTATGGGGCAGACCCATAGAGAAACCCCATAGAGAAACCCCTATGGGGCAGACCCATAGAGAAACCCCATAGAGAAACCCCTATGGAACCCTATGGGGCCAGCAATGGGTGCCTATGGGGCAGACCCATAGAGAACCCCAATGGAACCCTATGGGGCCAGCAATGGGTGCCTATGGGGCAGACCCATAGAGAACCCCTATAGAGAAACCACTATGGAACCCTATGGGGCAGACCCATAGAGAACCCCTATGGAACCCTATGGGGCAGACCCATAGAGAACCCCTATAGAGAAACCCCTATGGAACCCTATGGGGCCAGCAATGGGTGCCTATGGGGCAGACCCATAGAGAACCCCTATAGAGAAACCCCTATGGAACCCTATGGGGCCAGCAATGGGTGCCTATGGGGCAGACCCATAGAGAACCCCTATGGGGCAGACACATAGAGAAACCCCTATGGAACCCTATGGGGCAGACCCATAGAGAAACCCTATGGGGCAGACCCATAGAGAAACCCCATAGAGAACCACTATGGGGCAGACCCATGGAGAAACCCCTATGGGGCAGACACATAGAGAAACCCCTATGGAACCCTAAGGGGCCAGCAATGGGTGCCTATGGGGCAGACCCATAGAGAACCCTAGAGAGAAACCCCTATGGGGCAGACCCATAGAGAACCCCTATAGAGAAACCCCTATGGAACCCTATGGGGCAGACCCATAGAGAGAACCAATATGGGGCAGACCCATAGAGAAACCCCTATAGAGAAACCCCTATGGAACCCTATGGGGCAGACCCATAGAGAACCCTAGAGAGAAACCCCTATGGGGCAGACCCATAGAGAAACCTATGGAGACCTATGGGGCAGACCCATGGGGAACCCCCTATAGAGCCCTATGGGGCAGACCCACAGGGAACCCCCTATAGAGCCCTATGGAACAGCCCCCCTATAGAACCTGATGGACCCCCCTATAAAGCTCCCCTATAGGACCCCATAGAACCGCCCCCTATGGAACCCCCATATAGAACCAACCCCTGCAGAACCCTATAGACCTGCCCTATAGACCCCTATGGAACCAAGCCCTATAGAGCCCTATAGAACCCAGCCCTATAGAGCCCTATAGACCTGTCCTATAGAACCCTATGGAACCATGCCCTATAGAGCCCTATAGACCTGCCCTATAGAACCCTATGGAACCAAGCCCTATAGAGCCCTATAGACCTGCCCTATAGAACCCTATGGAACCATGCCCTATAGAGCCCTATAGACCTGCCCTATAGAACCCTATGGAACCATGCCCTATAGAGCCCTATAGACCTGCCCTATAGAACCCTATAGAACCAAGCCCTATAGAGCCCTATAGACCTGCCCTATAGACCCCTATGGAACCAAGCCCTATAGAGCCCTATAGACCTGCCCTATAGAACCCTATAGAACCAAGCCCTATAGAGCCCTATAGAGCCCTATAGACCTGCCCTATAGAACCCTATGGAACCAAGCCCTATAGAGCCCTATAGACCTGCCCTATAGACCCCTACGGAACCAAGCCCTATAGAGCCCTATAGACCTGCCCTATAGACCCCTATGGAACCAAGCCCTATAGAGCCCTATAGACCTGCCCTATAGACCTGCCCTATAGACCCCTATGGAACCATGCCCTATAGAGCCCTATAGACCTGCCCTATAGAACCCTATGGAACCAAGCCCTATAGAGCCCTATAGAACCCTATAGAACCAAGCCCTATAGAGCCCTATAGAACTGTCCTATAGAACCCTATGGAACCATGCCCTATAGAGCCCTATAGACCTGCCCTATAGAACCCTATGGAACCAAGCCCTATAGAGCCCTATAGACATGCCCTATAGACTCCTATGGAACCAAGCCCTATAGAGCCCTATAGACCTGCCCTATAGACCCCTATGGAACCAAGCCCTATAGAGCCCTATAGAACCCTATAGAACCAAGCCCTATAGAGCCCTATAGACCCCTATGGAACCAAGCCCTATAGAGCCCTATAGAACCCAGCCCTATAGAGCCCTATAGACCTGTCCTATAGAACCCTATGGAACCATGCCCTATAGAGCCCTATAGACCTGCCCTATAGAACCCTATGGAACCATGCCCTATAGAGCCCTATAGAACCCTATAGAACCAAGCCCTATAGACCCCTATAGACCTGCCCTATAGAACCCTATGGAACCATGCCCTATAGAGCCCTATAGACCTGCCCTATAGACCCCTATGGAACCAAGCCCTATAGAGCCCTATAGACCTGCCCTATAGACCCCTATGGAACCAAGCCCTATAGAGCCCTATAGACCCCTATGGAACCAAGCCCTATAGAGCCCTATAGAACCCTATGGAACCATGCCCTATAGAGCCCTATAGACCTGCCCTATAGAACCCTATAGACCTGCCCTATAGAACCCTATGGAACCATGCCCTATAGAGCCCTATAGAACCCTATAGAACCAAGCCCTATAGACCCTTATACACCTGCCCTATAGAACCCTATAGACCTGCCCTATAGAGCCCTATAGAGCCCTATAGACCTGCCCTATAGAACCCTATAGACCTGCCCTATAGAGCCCCATAGAACCACCCCCTATAGAGCCCTGTAGATCCCTACCGAACCGCCCCGATAGAACCCAACAGAACCCAATAGACCTCGATAGACCCCAATAGACCTCGATAGACCCCAATAGACCTCGATAGACCCCAATAGACCCCTCTAGCGCCCCATAGCGCCCCATAGCGCCCCCCCGTGACCCACATCTCCCCATAGACATTAGATCTCGTTCGGTAGATCCCTACCGAACCGCCCCGATAGAACCCAACAGAACCCAATAGACCTCGATAGACCCCAATAGACCTCGATAGACCCCAATAGACCCCAATAGACCCCTCTAGCGCCCCATAGCGCCCCATAGCGCCCCCCAGTGACCCCCATCTCCCCATAGACGTTCGAGCAGCGCCGGTACCAGCAGTACACGTGCTACACCGTGTTCTTCATCAGCATCGAGATGTGTCAGATCGCCGACGTGCTCATCCGCAAGACCCGCCGCCTCTCGCTCTTCCAACAGGGGCTCTTCCGGTGCCTATGGGGCGCTATGGGGCGGGCTATGGGGCGGGCTATGGGGCGGGTTATGGGGGGGGGGCTATGGGGGCTATGGAGTGCTCGAGGGATCTATAGGGGCTGTAGAGGTCTATAGAGTCGATAGGGGGGTCTATGGGTCTATAGAGGCTATAGGGGGGTCTATGGGTCTATAGAGGCTATAGGGGGATCTATGGGTCTATAGGGGGTGTAGGGGGCTCTATAGAGGCTATAGGGGGGTCTATGGGTCTATAGAGGCTATAGGGGGGTCTATGGGTCTATAGAGGCTATAGGGGGATCTATGGGTCTATAGGGGGTGTAGGGGGCTCTATAGAGGCTATAGGGGGGTCTATGGGTCTATAGAGGCTATAGGGGGGTCTATGGGTCTATAGAGGTCTATAGAGGTGATAGGGGGGTCTATGGGTCTATAGAGGCTATAGGAGGATCTATGGGTCTATAGGGGGTGTAGAGATCTATAGAGGCTATAGGGGGGTCTATGGGTCTATAGCGGCTATAGGGGTGTCTATGGGTCTATAGAGATCTATAGAGGCTACAGGGGGGTCTATGGGTCTATAGAGGTCTATAGGGGGAGCTATGGGTCTATAGGGGGTGTAGAGGTCTATAGAGGCTATAGGGGGGTCTATAGAGGCTATAGGGGGGTCTATAGAGGCTATAGGGGGATCTATGGGTCTATAGGGGGTGTAGGGGGCTCTATAGAGGCTATAGGGGGGTCTATGGGTCTATAGAGGCTATAGGGGGGTCTATGGGTCTATAGAGGTCTATAGAGGTGATAGGGGGGTCTATGGGTCTATTGAGGCTATAGGAGGATCTATGGGTCTATAGGGGGTGTAGAGATCTATAGAGGCTATAGGGGGGTCTATGGGTCTATAGAGGCGATAGCGGGGTCTATGGGTCTATAGAGGCTATAGAGGGGTCTATGGGTCTATAGAGGCTATAGGGGGGTCTATGGGTCTATAGAGGCTATAGGGGGATCTATGGGTCTATAGAGGCTATAGGGGGGTCTATGGGTCTATAGAGGCTATAGGGGGGTCTATGGGTCTACAGAGGTCTACAGAGGCGATGGGGGGGTCTATGGGTCTATAGGGGGTGTAGAGGTCTATAGAGGCTATAGGGGGGTCTATGGGTCTGTAGAGGCTATAAGGGGGTCTATAGAGGCTATAAGGGGTCTATGGGTCTATAGATGCTATAGGGGGGTCTAGGGGTCTATAGAGATCTATAGAGGCTATAGGGGGGTCTATGGGTCTATAGGGGGTGTAGAGGTCTATAGAGGCTATATGGGGGTCTATGGGTCTATAGAGACTATAGGGGGGGTCTATGGGTCTATAGAGGCTATAGGGGGGTCTAGGGGTCTATAGAGGTCTATAGAGGCTATAGGGGGTCTATGGGGTCTATAGGGCTCTACAGGGGTCTATAGGTGTCTGTATTGGCTACAGGGGTCTATGGAGTCTAGAGAGGTCTACAGGTATCTATAGGGGTCTATGGGGTCTATAGGGGTCTATGGGGTCTATATGGGGCTATAGGTGTCTACAAGGGTCTATGGGGCCTATAGATGTCTATAGGGGTCTATGGGTTCTATAGGGGTCTATATGGGGCTATAGGTGTCTATAGTGGGCTATAGGGATCTATAGGTGTCTACAGGGGGCTATAGGGGTCTATAGGAGTCTCTGGGGTCTATAGGGGTCTACAGGGGGCTATAGGGGTTTATATGGGTCTATGGGGTCTATATGGGGCTATTGGGGTCTATAGGGGTCTATGGGGTCTATACATGTCTATAGGGGTCTATAGGGATCTATAGGGTCAATAAGGGTTTATATGGGTCTATGGGGTCTATAGGGCTCTATAGTGCTCTATAGAAGTCTATGGGGTCTATAGGGCTCTATAGAAGTCTATGGGGTCTATAGGGCTCTATAGAAGTCTATGGGGTCTATGGGGTCTCTAGGGCTCTATAGAAGTCTATGGGGTCTATGGGGTCTATAGGGCTCTATAGAAGTCTATGGGGTCTATGGGGCCTATGGGGTCTATAGGGTCTATGGGGTCTATGGGGTCTATGGGCGCCGTGTCCCGCAGGAACCGCATCCTGGTGCTGGCCATCGTGTTCCAGGTTTCCATTGGCTGCTTCCTGTGCTACTGCCCCGGGATGCCCAACGTCTTCAACTTCATGCCCATCCGGTGAGCACGGCCCACTGGGACCCACTGAGACCCACTGAGACCCACTGAGACCCACTGAGACCCATTGAGACCCATTGAGACCCATTGAGACCCATTGAGACCCACTGAGACCCACAGCACCCACTGAGACCCATTGAGACCCACAGCACCCATTGACACTCATTGAGACCCATTGACCCCACTGACACTCATTGAGACTCATTGAGACCCACTGAGACCCATTGACACCCACTGAGATCCATTGACCCCACTGACACCCATTGACACTCATTGAGACCCATTGAGACCCACTGAGACCCACTGAGACCCATTGACACCCACTGACACACATTGAGACTCATTGAGACCCACAGCACCCATTGACACTCATAGGCACCCATTCAGACCCACTGAGACCCATTGAGACCCACTGACACTCATAGGCACCCATTGAGACTCATTGACCCCATTGAGACCCATTGACTCCCATTGATACCCATTGACCCCCATCGACATCATTGACCCCCATTGACTCCCCATCGACCCTATTGATACCCATTGACCCCCATCGACATCATTGACCCCCATTGACTCCCCATCGACCCTATTGATACCCATTGACCCCCATCGACATCATTGACCCCCATTGACTCCCCATCGACCCTATTGATACCCATTGACCCCCACTGACATCATTGACCCCCATTGACTCCCCATCGACCCTATTGATACCCACTACCCCCCCATTGATATCGACATCCATTGAGTCCCCATTGACCCCCCCATTACCCCCATTGCCCCATAGCCCCCCTTGCCCCCCATCGCCCCATAGCCCCCCATCGCCCCATAGCCCCCATTGACCCCCCGGTCCCTGCCCAGCTTCCAATGGTGGCTCGTCCCGATGCCCTATGGGCTCCTCATCCTGGTCTACGACGAGATCCGCAAGCTGGGGGTGCGCCGGCACCCGGGCAGTGAGTGCTATGGGGCGCTATGGGGTGCTATGGGGCGCTATGGGGCGCTATGGGGGGCTATGGGTGCTATGGGGCGCTATGGGGCGCTATGGGGTGCTATGGGTGCTATGGGGGGCTATGGGTGCTATGGGTGCTATGGGGCGCTATGGGGGGCTAGGGGTGCTATGGGGTGCTATGGGGGCTATGGGGGGCTATGGGGTGCTATGGGTGCTATGGGGTGCTATGGGGGCTATGGGGGGCTATGGGGTGCTATGGGGTGCTATGGGGTGCTATGGGGCGTTATGGGGGGCTATGGGTGCTATGGGGGGCTATGGGTGCTATGGGGGCTATGGGGGGCTATGGGGTGCTATGGGGTGCTATGGGGCGCTATGGGGCGCTATGGGGAGCTATGGGGGGTATAGGGTGCTATGGGGGGCTATAGGGGGCTATGGGGTGCTATAGGGGTTATAGGGTGCAATAGGGGGCTATAGGGGGCTATGGGGGGCTATAGGGGGCTATGGAGTGCTATAGGGGCCTATAAGGAGCTATAGGGTGCTATAGGGGCCGATAGGGTGCTATAAGGGGCTATAGGGTGCTGTAAGAGGCTATAGGGTGCTATGGGGTCGATAAGGTGCTATAGGGTGCTATAAGGGGGTATAGGGGGTTATAGGGGCTATAGGGGCCCATAGGGTGCTATAGGTGCCCATAGGGTGCTATAGCTGCTGCTATACATGCTTGTGGGGTGCCAATGGGGTGCCATAGGGTGTCATGGGATACCATAGTTTGCCTATAGGGTGCTATAGGGTGCCCATAGGGTGCTATAGGTGCCCATAGGGTGCTATAGGGCGCCCATAGGGTGCTATAGGTACTGATGTATGTGCTTGTGGGGTGCCAATGGGGTGCCATAGGGTGTCATGGGAGACCATAATTTGTCTATAGGGTGCTATGGGTGCCCATAGTGTGCTATAGGTGCCCATAGGGTGCCATAGGGTGCCCATAGGGTGCGTATAGGGTGCTATAGGGCACCATAGGGTGCTATAGGTGCCCATAGGGTGCTATAGGGTGCCCATAGGGTGCTATAGGGTGCCATAGGGTGCTATAGGGTGCGTATAGGGTGCTATAGGGCGCCATAGGGTGCTATAGGTGCCCATAGGGTACTATAGGGTGCCCATAGGGTGCTATAGATGCCCACAGGGTGCTATAGATGCCCATAGGGTGCCATAGGACGCCCATAGGGTGCTATAGATGCCCATAGAGTGCTATAGGGCGCCATAGGGTGCTATAGGGCGCCACAGGGTGCTATAGATGCCCATAGGGTGCCATAGGACGCCCATAGGGTGCTATAGATGCCCATAGGGTGCCATAGGACGCCCATAGGGTGCTATAGATGCCCATAGGATGCTATAGGGTGCCATAGGGTGCTATAGGGCGCCCATAGACCCCTCACCTCTCTTGTTTCTCCCCATAGGCTGGTGGGACCGAGAGCTCTACTACTGACCTGGGGCACCCCATGGACACCCCCCCCCCCCCACCCATGGGTGCCCCCAACCCCTATGGGTGCCCCCAACCCCTATGGGTGCCCCCAACCCCTATGGGTGCCCCCATGATCCTATGGGTGCCCCCAACCCCCTATGGGTGCCCCCAACCCCTATGGGTGCCCCCAATCCCTATGGGTGCCCCCATGATCCTATGGGTGCCCTCAACCCCTATGGGTGCCCCCAACCCCCTATGGGTGCCCCCAACCCCCTATGGGTGCCCCCATGACCCTATGGGTGCCCCCAACCCCTATGGGTGCCCCCATGACCCTATGGGTGCTCCCACAACCTATGGGTCCCCCCAACCCCTATGGGTGCCCCCAAACCCTATGGGTGCCCCCATCACCCCCCTGTACCCCAATAAACTCCTGTGCTCCCCCCACATCAATGGGTGCCCTTCAGCACCCATGGGTGCCCCCCGACCCCTATGTCCCCCCCATAAGCTCTGGGTCCTGCCCCATAACCTATGGGTGCCCCCCAACCCCTATGGGTGCCCCCCAACCCCTATGGGTGCCCCCCCCAATCCATGGGTGCCCTCCAACACCCATGGGTCCCCCCAACTCTAGGGGTGCTCCCCATAAGCTATGGGTGCCCCCCAACCCCTATGGGTGCTCCCCAACCCCTATGGGTGCTCTCCAACTCTATGGGACCCCAACCCCTATAGACCACCCTCCCCCATAGACCCCTATAGCCCCCATAGACCCCTATAGGGATGCCCCCCATAGACCCCTATAGGGATGCCCCCCATAGACCCCTATAGCCCCCCATAGAACCCCTATAGCCCCCATAGACCCCTATAGCCCCCCCATAGACCCCTATAGCTCCACATAGACCCCTATAGCCCCCCATAGAGCCCCTATAGCCCCCCCATTGACCCCTATAGCTCCCCCATAGACCCCTATAGCTCCCCATAGACCCCTATAGCCCCCCATAGAACCCCTATAGCCCCCCCATTGACCCCTATAGCCCCCCCATAGACCCCTATAGCTCCCCATAGACCCCTATAGCCCCCCATAGACCCCTATAGCCCCCCCATTGACCCCTATAGCCCCCCCATAGACCCCTATAGCCCCCCCCTAAACCCTTATAGCCGCCCCATAGACCCCTATAGCCCCCCCATAGACCCCTATAGGCCCCCCATAGACCCCTATAGCCCCCCCATAGACCCCTATAGGCCCCCCATAGACCCCTATAGCCCCCCCATAGACCCCTATAGCCCCCCCCTAAACCCTTATAGCCGCCCCATAGACCCCTATAGCTCCCCATAGACCCCTATAGCCCCCCCATAGACCCCTATAGCCCCCCATAGAACCCCTATAGCTCCCCATTGACGCCTATAGCCCCCATAGACCCCTATACCCCCCCATAGACCCCTATAGCCCCCCCATAGACCCCTATAGCTCCCCATAGACCCCTATAGCTCCCCATAGACCCCTATAGCCCCCCATAGACCCCTATAGGCCCCCCCATAGACCCCTATAGCCCCCCATAGAACCCCTATAGCCCCCCATAGACCCCTATAGCCCCCCCATAGACCCCTATAGGGCCACTGCAGCCTCCTCCATGGGTGCCCCCCAAGTCTATGGGTCCCACCCCTCCCATACACCCCCCCCCCATAGGCCCTCCACCCCATAGCCCCCTATACCCCCCATATACCCCTAGAGATCCCCCCCCATAGCCCCCTATACCCCCCCATATAGCCCTATAGATCCCCCCCCCATAGCCCCCTATACCCATCCCATATAACCCTATAGGCCCTCCACCCTATAGCCCCCTACCCCACAGACCCCTACAGCCCCCCATAGCCCCCTATAGGTCCCCCCCATACACCCCTATAGGCCCTCCACCCCATAGCCCCCTATAAACCCCCCATAGCCCCCTACCCCACAGAGCCCTATAGGCCCCCCATAGCCCCCTATAGGTCCCCCCCCATAGCCCCCCATAGACACCACTTACATACCCCTATATGCCCCCCCATAGCACCCTACAGGACCCTCCCCATAGCCCCCTATAGGTCCCCCCCATAGCCCCCTATAGGTCCCCCCCCCATAGCCCCCTATGGGGCGCACCCACATACCCCTATATGGCCCCCCATAGCCCCCTATAGCGTCCCCACCCCACAGACCCCCACAGCCCCCCCATAGGTCCCCCCCATAGCCCCCTATAGGGCGCACCCACATACCCCTATATGCCCCCCCATAGGTTCCCCCCCATAGCCCCCTATAGGTTGCACCCACATACCCCTATATGCCCCCCCCATAGCCCCTTATAGGTCCCCCCCAGCCCCATAGCCCCCCATAGCCCCCTATAGGTCCCCCCCATAGCCCCCTATAAGGTGCACCCACATACCCCTATATGCCCCCCCATAGGTTCCCCCCCATAGCCCCCTATAGGTTGCACCCACATACCCCTATATGCCCCCCCCATAGCCCCTTATAGGTCCCCCCCAGCCCCATAGCCCCCCATAGCCCCCTATAGGTCCCCCCCATAGCCCCCTATAGGTTGCACCCACATACCCCTATATGCCCCCCATAGCCCCCTATAGGTCCCCCCCATAGCCCCCTATAGGTTGCACCCACATACCCCTATATGCCCCCCATAGCCCCCTATAGGTCCCCCCCATAGCCCCCTATGGGGCGCACCCACATACCCCTATATACCCCCCCATACCCCCCTATAGGTCCCCCCCATAGCCCCCTATGGGGCGCACCCACATACCCCTATATGCCCCTTCATACCCCCCTATAGGTCCCCCCCATAGACCCCACTTACATACCCCTATATGCCCCCCATACCCCCCTATAGGTCCCCCCCAGCCCCATAGCCCCCCATAGCCCCCTATAGGTCCCCCCCCATAGCCCCCCATAGACCCCACTTACATACCCCTATATACCCCCCCATACCCCCCTATAGGTCCCCCCCAGCCCCATAGCCCCCCATACCCCCCCCCCCATTTGCGCCCCACAGACCCCACAGATGCCGCTGCCACGGGGTCTCCTTTACTTCAGGGGGGGGGCAGGAGTGGGGCCAGGAGCCGCAGGGCCCCAAGCCCCAGCCCCACAGCGCCCAGCGCCCGCAGCCCCAGCGCCCCCCAGGGCCCCAGCCCCAGCGCCTGCCCCGCCCACCTGTGACGTCACAGAGAGGGGAGGGGGGGGGGAAGGGGGCGGGGCGTCAGATACGCCCCTCCCCTTCCATTCATCCCCATTGAACAGCCCCCATTCAACCCAGCCCCATTGATCCCCCCATTCAACCCAGCCCCATTGAGCCCTATTAGACCCAGCCCCATTGAACCCAGCCCCATTGATCCCTATTAGACCCAGCCCCATTGAACCCAGCCCCATTGATCCCTATTAGACCCAGCCCCATTGAACCCAGCCCCATTGATCCCCCCATTCAACCCAGCCCCATTGAGCCCTATTAGACCCAGCCCCATTGAACCCAGCCCCATTGATCCCCATTGATCCCCCCATTCAACCCAGCCCCATTGAGCCCTATTAGACCCAGCCCCATTCAACCCAGCCCCATTGATCCCCCCATTCAACCCAGCCCCATTGATCCTTATTAGACCCAGCCCCATTCAACCCAGCCCCATTCATCCCCATTGACCCAGCCCCATTGAACCCCCCCATTGAACCCAGCCCCATTTGTCCCTATGGAACCCCAGCCCCATTCAACCCCATTGATCCCCCCATTCATCCCTATTAGACCGCAACCCCATTCATCCCCATTGAACCCCCCATTCAACCCAGCCCCATTCATCCCTATTAGACCCCAGCCCCATTGAACCCAGCCCCATTCATCCCTATGGAACTCCAGCCCCATTGAACCCAGCCCCATTCATCCCCATTAGACCCCAGCCCCATTCATCCCCCCCATTCATCCCCATTGACCCCCCATTGATCCCTATTGAACCCCCCCGTTCATGCCCATTGAACCCCAGCCCCATTCATCCCCATTGATCCCCCCATTCACCCCCATTGATCCCCAGCCCCATTCATCCCCATTGATCCCCCCATTCATCCCCATTGAACCCCAGCCCCATTCATCCCCATTGATCCCCCCATTCATCCCCATTGATCCCCCCATTCATCCCCATTGAACCCCAGCCCCATTCACCCCCATTGATCCCCCCATTCACCCCCATTGAACCCCAGCCCCATTCACACCCATTGATCCCCAGCCCCATTCACCCCCATTGAACCCCAGCCCCATTCATCCCCATTGATCCCCCCCAATGATCCCCATTGAATCCCAGCCCCATTCATCCCCATTGATCCCATTGATCCCCATTGATCCCCAGCCACATTCATCCCCATTGAACCCCAGCCCCATTCATCCCCATTGATCCCACTGATCCCCATTGAACCCCAGCCCCATTCACCCCCATTGAACCCCAGCCCCATTCATCCCTATTGAACCCCCCTGTTCATCCCCATTGAACCCCAGCCCCATTCATCCCTATTAGACCCCAGCCCCATTGAACCCCCCCATTCATCCCCATTAGACCCCAGCCCCATTGAACCCCCCCATTCATCCCCACTGACCTGCCCCATTGAACCCATTTATCCCCATTGAACCCCCCACTGAAACCCATTGAACCCCCCATTCATCCCCATTGATCCCCCCATTCATCCCCATTAGACCCCAGCCCCATTGAACCCCAGCCCCATTCATCCCCATTGAACCCCCCATTCATCCCCATTAGACCCCAGCCCCATTGAACCCCAGCCCCATTCATCCCCATTGAACACCCCATTCATCCCCATTAGACCCCAGCCCCATTGAACCCCAGCCCCATTCATCCCCATTGAACCCCCCATTCATCCCCATTAGACCCCAGCCCCATTGAACCCCAGCCCCATTCATCCCCATTGAACACCCCATTCATCCCCATTAGACCCCAGCCCCATTGAACCCCAGCCCCATTCATCCCCATTGAACCCCCCATTCATCCCCATTAGACCCCAGCCCCATTGAACCCCAGCCCCATTCATCCCCATTGAACACCCCATTCATCCCCATTAGACCCCAGCCCCATTGAACCCCAGCCCCATTCATCCCCATTGAACCCCCCATTCATCCCCATTAGACCCCAGCCCCATTGAACCCCAGCCCCATTCATCCCCATTGAACCCCCCCATTGATCCCCATTGAACCCCCCACTGAAAGCCATTGAACCCCCCATTCATCCCCATTAGACCCAAGCCCCATTGAACCCCAGCCCCATTCATCCCCATTGATCCCCCCATTCACACCCATTGAACCCCAGCCCCATTCATCCCCATTGAACCCCAGCCCCATTCACCCCCATTGATCCCCCCATTCACCCCCATTGAACCCCAGCCCCATTCATCCCCATTGAACCCCCCCATTCATCCCCATTGAACCCCAGCCCCATTCATCCCCATTGAACCCCCCCATTCATCCCCATTGAACCCCAGCCCCATTCACCCCCATTGATCCCCCCATTGATCCCCATTGAACCCCAGCCCCATTCAGCCCCATTGATCCCCAGCCCCATTCATCCCCATTGATCCCCCCATTGATCCCCATTCATCCCTATTAGACCCCAGCCCCATTGAACCCCAGCCCCATTGATCCCCATTAGACCCCAGCCCCATTCATCCCCATTGAACCCCAGCCCCATTCATCCCCATTGATCCCCCCATTCACCCCCATTGATCCCCAGCCCCATTCATCCCTATTAGACCCCAGCCCCATTCATCCCCATTGATCCCCCCATTCACCCCCATTGAACCCCAGCCCCATTCACCCCCACTGAACCCCCATTCACCCCCACTCCCCCCTCCCATTGGCTCCCTCCAAGCCCCACCCACGCCCATTCCCCGCTCCCATTGGCTGGCTCCCGTTAAGCCCCGCCCCCTTTTACCCGCTCAGGAAGCCCTCATAGGCTGCGGCCAGGAGGAGCCCCCCAGGGGCAGGCGCGAGCGTGGGGGCAGCTCCTGGCGCCCCGAGACCCACAGCAGGGCGGCCGCGGCCACGTGACGAGCCTGGGGGGGGGGGAGGGACCACGTGACCCACACATTGACCCACACATTGACCCACATTGACCCACATTGACCCACACATTGACCCACACATTGACCCACACATTGACCCACACACTGACCCACATTGACCCACACATTGACCCACACATTGACCCACACATTGACCCACATTGACCCACACATTGACCCACACATTGACCCACACATTGACCCACACATTGACCCACATTGACCCACACATTGACCCACACATTGACCCACATTGACCCACACATTGACCCACATTGACCCACACATTGACCCACATATTGACCCACATTGACCCACACATTGACCCACACATTGACCCACACATTGACCCACATTGACCCACACATTGACCCACATTGACCCACACATTGACCCACACATTGACCCACACATTGACCCACATATTGACCCACATTGACCCACACATTGACCCACACATTGACCCACACTGACCCACACACTGACCCACACATTGACCCACACATTGACCCACACATTGACCCACATATTGACCCACACATTGACCCACACTGACCCACACACTGACCCACACATTGACCCACACATTGACCCACACATTGACCCACATTGACCCACATTGACCCACATTGACCCATACATTGACCCACATTGACCCACATTGACCCACATTGACCCACACTGACCCACACACTGACCCACACATTGACCCACACATTGACCCACATTGACCCACACATTGACCCACACATTGACCCACACATTGACCCACATTGACCCACACATTGACCCACACATTGACCCACATTGACCCACACATTGACCCACACATTGACCCACATTGACCCACACATTGACCCACATTGACCCACACATTGACCCACACTGACCCACACATTGACCCACACATTGACCCACACATTGACCCACATATTGACCCACACATTGACCCACACTGACCCCACACACTGACCCACACATTGACCCACACATTGACCCATATTGACCCACATTGACCCACACATTGACCCACATTGACCCACACATTGACCCACACATTGACCCACACATTGACCCACATTGACCCACACATTGACCCACATTGACCCACACATTGACCCACACATTGACCCACACATTGACCCACATTGACCCACACATTGACCCCCCCTCAGTGACCCACACATTGACCCACACACTGACCCACACATTGACCCACATTGACCCACATTGACCCACACATTGACCCACATTGACCCACATTGACCCACACATTGACCCACACTGACCCACACATTGACCCACATTGACCCACACATTGACCCACACATTGACCCACATTGACCCACACATTGACCCACACATTGACCCACATTGACCCACACATTGACCCACATTGACCCACACATTGACCCACACATTGACCCACATATTGACCCACATTGACCCACACATTGACCCACACATTGACCCACACATTGACCCACATTGACCCACACATTGACCCACATTGACCCACACATTGACCCACACATTGACCCACACATTGACCCACATATTGACCCACATTGACCCACACATTGACCCACACATTGACCCACACATTGACCCATACATTGACCCACACATTGACCCACACATTGACCCACACACTGACCCACACATTGACCCCCCCCCACAGTGACCCACACATTGACCCACACATTGACCCACATTGACCCACACATTGACCCACACATTGACCCACACACTGACCCACACATTGACCCCCCCCCACAGTGACCCACACATTGACCCACATATTGACCCACATTGACCCACACATTGACCCCCCCAGTGACCCTCCCATTGACCCACACACTGACCCACACATTGACCCACACATTGACCCCCCCCCACAGTGACCCACACATTGACCCACACACTGACCCACACATTGACCCACACATTGACCCACACATTGACCCCCCCTCAGTGACCCACATATTGACACCCCCCCAGTGACCCTCCCATTGACCCACACATTGACCCCCACATTGACCCCCATTGATTGCATTGACCCCCCCATTGACCCCAATGACCCCCCCCATTGATACCAATGACCCCTCCCAGTCCATCCCAATCCCCCCGCAGTCCCTCCCAATCCCATCCCAGTCCATCCCAGTTCAATCCCAGTCCTTCCCAGTTCAATCCCAGTCCTTCCCAGTTCAATCCCAGTTCAATCCCAGTCCCTCCCAGTTCAATCCCAGTCCCTCCCAGTCCATCCCAGTCCATCCCAGTTCAATCCCAGTCCCTCCCAGTCCATCCCAGTCCCTCCCAGTTCAATCCCAGTCCCTCCCAGTTCAATCCCAGTCCCTCCCAGTTCAATCCCAGTCCATCCCAGTTCAATCCCAGTCCATCCCAGTTCAATCCCAGTTCAATCCCAGTCCCTCCCAGTTCAATCCCAGTCCATCCCAGTTCAATCCCAGTTCAATCCCAGTCCCTCCCAGTTCAATCCCAGTCCATCCCAGTTCAATCCCAGTTCAATCCCAGTCCCTCCCAGTTCAATCCCAGTCCATCCCAGTTCAATCCCAGTCCATCCCAGTTCAATCCCAGTTCAATCCCAGTCCATCCCAGTTCAATCCCAGTCCATCCCAGTTCAATCCCAGTTCAATCCCAGTCCCTCCCAGTTCAATCCCAGTCCATCCCAGTTCAATCCCAGTTCAATCCCAGTCCCTCCCAGTTCAATCCCAGTCCATCCCAGTTCAATCCCAGTCCATCCCAGTTCAATCCCAGTTCAATCCCAGTCCCTCCCAGTTCAATCCCAGTCCATCCCAGTCCATCCCAGTTCAATCCCAGTCCCTCCCAGTTCAATCCCAGTCCATCCCAGTCCATCCCAGTTCAATCCCAGTCCATCCCAGTTCAATCCCAGTCCATCCCAGTTCAATCCCAGTTCAATCCCAGTCCCTCCCAGTTCAATCCCAGTCCATCCCAGTCCATCCCAGTTCAATCCCAGTCCCTCCCAGTTCAATCCCAGTCCATCCCAGTCCATCCCAGTTCAATCCCAGTCCATCCCAGTCCATCCCAGTCCATCCCAGTTCAATCCCAGTCCATCCCAGTGCTCACCAGGCTGATGTTGGAGTCCAGCCCCATCTGCAGGTGCCTCCAGTCGAACTCCACCCCCCGTGCTCCGACCCACAGCGGCACGCACCTGCGCCCACAGGGGACCCCATGGACCCTATAGACCCTATGGGCCCTATAGACCCTATGGACCCTATAGAGCCTATGGGCCCTATAGACCCTATAGACCCTATGGGGCCTATGGACCCTATAGACCCTATAGAGCCTATGGGCCCTATAGACCCTATGGACCCTATAGACCCTATGGACCCTATAGACCCTATGGGCCCTATAGACCCTATGGGCCCTATAGACCCTATGGGCCCTATAGACCCTATGGGCCCTATAGACCCTATGGAGCCTATGGGCCCTATGGACCCTATAGAACCTATGGGCCCTATAGACCCTATAGAGCCTACAAACCTATGGACCCTATAGACCCTATAGAACCTATGGACCCTATAGACCCTATAGAGCCTACAGACCTATAGAGCCTATGGACCCTATAGAGCCTATGGACCCTATGGACCCCATGGACCCTATAGAGCCTATGGGCCCTATAGAACCTATAGAGCCTATGGACCCTATAGACCCTATGGACCCAATGGAGCCTATGGGCCCTATGGACCCTATAGAGCCTATGGACCCCATGGACCCTATGGACCCTATAGAGCCTATGGACCCTATAGAGCCTATGGGCCCTATGGACCCTATAGACCCTATGGACCCTATAGAGCCTATGGACCCTACAGACCTATGGACCCTATATTGCCTATGGACCCTATAGACCCTATGGACCCCATGGACCCTATAGAGCCTATGGGCCCTATGGACCCTATAGAACCTATAGACCCTATGGACCCCATGGACCCTATAGAGCCTATAGACCCTATGGACCCTATAGACCCTATGGAGCCTGTAGACCCTATGGACCCTATAGAGCCTATAGAGCCTATAGAATCTATAGAACCTATAGAGCCTATGGCCCCTATAGACCCTATGGATCCCATGGACCCTGTAGAGCCTATAGACCATATAGAGCCTATGGACCCTATAGAACCTATAGACCCTATGGACCCCATGGACCCTATAGACCCTATGGATCCTATGGACCCTATACAGCCTATGGACCCTATAGAGCCTATAGACCCTATGGAGCCTATGGACCCTATAAAGCTTATGGACCCTATAGAACCTATAGACCCTATGGACCCCATGGACCCTATAAAGCCTATGGATCCTATAGAGCCTATAGACCCTATGGAGCCTATGGACCCTATAGAACCTATAGACCCTATGGACCCCATGGACCCTAAAGACCCTATAGAACCTATAGACCCTATGGACTCTATAGAGCCTACGGACCCTATGGACCTTGTAGAACCTATGCACTCTACAGAGCCTATACACCCTATGGACCTTGTAGAGTCTATGGATCCTATAGAACCTATAGACCCTATGGACCTTGTAGAGCCTAA